GTGAAACAAAAGGGAAAAGATCATCACCTCTACGACTCTCCACAGACCATAGACAATGATGGGAGACTCGTCATTCAGCTGTCGACAGCCATGACGTAGCGATAAGAGGAGATCGGCGTATCCAAGGCTGGCCCAGATATAGGATCCTATCTCATGGATCCTGACCAGAGCGAGGAGGTAGCAAAGGAGTACACGTGAACTCCTATCGGGAGAAAGGGTCATAGAAATTAGGATCAGGATGAAAATCCGCACTCGCCGCTCAGCCGTCGTATCCTCCATGTCGAAGCCACGAGCTAAAACTGAAGCCAGCTCCGATCGTCCGCTCCTAGGACCACCTCGAGACACTGGTCAGGACCTGATGTACTGAATGATCAGACCCAACAAATCAGCTGTCTCAACCGAGCCCCAAACAGATTAGACATCTGAACTACAGCTCGGTCGGTGAAGCGCAACCCGCTGATCATACTGAAGTCTAGGGGGGTCACCGTCATCTCCCCCCAAGCAAAATGAAAAGTGTTGGTAGTATCCCAGAAATACTCCAACAATGCGCGAACGACCGTTGCACCGCAACCCCGGGGGCTGCGAAACCCTACAACCGCCGTATAGAAATCTACTAAACCAGCCGATTCCCATAGGGCGCTCGTAGCAGGATCCCTCGTAATGATCTGGTGAAGTCGAGGGATCAAATCGCCGGCTCCAGAACCGTGGTGGCGAAGCGTGCCATCGACTATGCCGGAGAGTGAGCGATGAAAGACATGGTTTTCACGGCAGAAAACCAACTGGTCTAGAGTCCACGGAGGTGGAACCCACCTACCTCTACTCTCGGATGCCCGAGGCTCGGACTCTAAAGCATCGTCGTCCATACCCTCAGGAATGGTGGGAGTGTCCTCCCGAAAAGCCCGACGCCGACCGAGGGTAGAAAGATCGCAATCTCGTCGCCTAGGCATGCTATTATAAAAATCTAAATACTTAGCATCATTTCCTAAGTTATATAGTTATTTATTGAATTATACGCTAAATTTTTACCTGCAAGCTAAAATTGGCAAAATTATGGTATTTAGTTTCTCCATGACAAACTAATACTACAATTCTCCTAGCCGCATGATACTATGTTCTCCATGACGATATAGTACATACGCAAAATACGTTTCGAAGTTGCACAAAAACAATGAATCAACACATCATGAAACACTTCACCCCCGTTTTTTCACCATTTCAAGTACAAAAGAAATAACATGAACATCATTTCACAAAGTAGTACCCAAAAATGGTGATTTGCTCAATTCTCCATCAATTCATGTAATTTTTGTCTCAAATTTCTCACAAACACACATACATACATATACAAGTAAAATCATGGCAAGAATTTCAACATAAAACCTCAAAATCAAAAATCCCCAAATTGATATTTAAGGGTTTTTCATGAAATTACTTATGTGAAGCAAAATTCAAGACAAAAATCAAAGGAAACTTACATGAATGCTCGTAGAGGGTCGAATGTGAGGAAGATAGCAAGAAATTACAGCAAAATTGGTGAAAATTCGAACTCCAAAAGCTCGAAAAAAGCTCCGGCCACCAACAGAACGCCGTGACACGGTCAGCAGAATCCGTGACACGGAGAGGCTGTCCCGTGTCACGGTAAGCTCAAAAGGCGACGGAGCTCCGGTAACCCCGACGGCAGCTCCGGAGGAAGACAGCAACAACAGCAGCAAAAATTAGCAGCAGCAACCCGCAGAAAAAAGCAAGAAAATTAAAAAATAAATAAAAAAGAGGAGAGAGAGAGATGCAGGAAGGCCACGACACAGTGGTGGAAACCGGCCGATGGGAAGACAAACCGAGCACCGATGAGCACTCGACGAGGCACGGCAACCCAAGGAAAATTTTTGAACTTTTTGGAGTGAGAATCAGATGAGAAATGGCGAAATGGTGAAGCAAAAACGTGAATTTAAAGCAAAAAAGTAGTTGTTGCAAACCCCGTTCACCGTGCCACGGTTACTGTTATTGTGTAACGGTACACTGCCGACGTGGCGCGCTGATTCACGTTGACCAATTCAACAACAAAAAAAAAAGTAGAAAAAAATATTCCCGTGACACGGGATTTTGTCCCGTCTGACGGGAGGAGTTCCCGTGTCACGGCAAAGTGGTGACGTGGCACGACAGACTCTGTGCATTGTTAGCGAATATTCATGACATTTTTGACCAGTTTGAATGATTTTCCGAGCTTATTGGGCAATTATTTTTCGCTAGAATTACGCGGAAAATTCTAACTGATATTTAAGGGGGACTAAAATTACCATTTTACCCCTAGCAAACATCAAAGTCTATTTTTTGGCATTTTAAGCACTTAATATGGTCGGATAATCGGCTTAAAATTGTGAAACATCTGCGGCCCACATTCGGGGATAATCGAACCATCATAGACTTACAAATTTCAGCAATCGTCGGCTTTCCTCAGGCTTGGAAAGCGTTATCGGTGGATTTTTCTTCAAGTATAGAAAATCGCCAAGTCGGCTTTCCTCAGGCTTGGAAAGCGTTATCGGTGGATTTTTCTTCAAGTATAGAAAACCGCCAAGTCGGCTTTCCTCAGGCTTGGAAAGCGTTATCGGTGGATTTTTCTTCAAGTATTGAAAACCGCCAAGTCGGCTTTCCTCGGGCATGGAAAGTGTTATCGGTGGATTTTTCTTCAAGTATAGAAAACCGCCAAGTATTCGGCTTTCCTCAAGCATGGAAGGCATTATCGGTAGAATTCTTCAAGCATAGAATAAGACCAAATTAATACGTCGACTTTCCTCAAGCATGGAAAGTGTCATCCGGTAGGTTTCTTCAGGCTTAGAAAGCTACCAAACTCATCTGTCGGCTTTCCTCAAGCATGGAAAACATTTCAACATACGTCATCCGGTGGATTCCTTCAAGCTTAGGAAGCTGCCAAATTCGTTTGTCACCGATACACTGGTGCCAGATACGTATTCTATCCCTTTATTCTTTTATCTGTGGAACTAACATTTTTCTGCAGGTATCGGCGTATACAGAGTGATTTAGGATCGCAGAACGTCTTAAATCATTCTCCGTCCCTATCGGCTACTTTGACTATCGTTTTCGAAACGTTCGAAACTGACGTTTCTACAAACTCAGTCAAAGTGGGGGCTTCTGTAGACACCTAAAAATGTCTCCCCAAAACAAAACCCGATGATGAACAACCTTTCACCGCCACTGTTGGTTGGGTTTAATATTTAATCCCGAGAGTGCTTAAAAAAGTCGTATTTTATTAAATTCATATTTTTGAACAATCCATGGATTAGTCTTGATGTTTGGTAAAAGCATAGTTTTAATTTCAGCCCAAACTTATTAATTAATTTTCAGCCCAAACCTTTTTTATTTTATTGTTTTATTATTTATTTTTGGCCCAAACCTTTTATTTATTTTTATTTAATTATTTTCTTATTTTAGCCCGAATAATAAAGGTCAGAAAAGGCCCGAAATTATCAATCGGCACTTAAAAAAGCCGAAGGAAATTAGGGTTAAAAATCTATTTAGACGGAAAATGGACCGGAAATTCCCGCGCCACGGCAGACTGCCACCGTGTCACGGGAATCCTTCCCGTCTGACGGTGGGATTTCCCGTGACACGGGAGGTTTGCCGTGACACAGGACATTCCGTGTCTTTTCCGCGTAAACCCTTGACGCGTTTTCTATCCCGTTTTCTGAAAATTTCCCGCGTCACGCCAAAAGTGTACCGTGTCACGGGAATGTGTACCGTCTGACGGTGGGGTTTCCCGTGTCACGGTACAGATTGAGCGTGTCACGGGATACTTTTTTAGGGTTTTTATCATTTTAGGGTTCCGTGTGCTCCCTCAACACATTTTCCCTATAAATACCCCCTCATTTTTTATGAACAGGGACACCGAGTAATTTTATTTATTTTATTTTCTCTCTTCTATGCTATTAGCCTAAACACTAGCCTACCCTTTTCACTTCAAAACTCCTTCTTCAAGTACTCAAAGGAGTCCATATTTTACTCGAGGTTATGTCCTTAAACCAAGGCGTGAAAGGTAGAATTGTTTGAGGGTTTGGTCCCAAAATCAACTTTATTTTATTTAATTTAATTTAGTTATTGTTTATTTATTTCCTTGAAGTTACTAACTCGTTTATTATTTTGTAGTTGCAAACAAACAGAATCAAAGTAAGGATCATGCTCCTTTTGTTTTTATTATTTTTCTAACGATTTTATGTTGTTGGAATTGTGATTAAATTGGTTCTAATATTAATATTGTTCTATTATATTGTTATTATGATCACCATATTGCATGTTTAAAGGGAATATGTAATTGAAAATCACGCCTAATAAGATAATTTGGACAACCGGTTTAGGTTCCTTTTTAATCTTATTATTAATTGAAGTGATCACCAATATTTTAGAATTATGTGTTGCATTAATATTCAACCAATTCAGCTTAATAATAGCTTGGAGCAAATTGAACTTTTGTTTGTATGCCTTTGAGATCGCAGGAATTACTTTTCACTATAAGAATCGAGTAGAGGCCAATACGGGCGAATGTGACTCCATGACTCACTTCGTACCATCATCCCCGATCCTCCTTTCGTGGTTCCGAACCATATGGAGTTAGTAATCTCATGGATTATGAATGGGGTGTAACCTTCACGGGTCAATCGTTGTTGCCTATCGTTGTTCCTTAATCGTTGTTGCCTTTTATGATCCGTGAACGGTTTACAAGTTCCTTAACAACTTGTTGGCGGCTCCCTACTTTCCTTGTCCCTAATCGTATATGTCAATTCCCACTTCCTAAGAGTGCCAAACATATTCATACATGCTTTAAAGTAGGCGCACTTCGAGCGACGCCTATAATAGTTGATGATATCATGCTGAATATGGAAGGGGACTCACTTCCTAGAGGAGTTCTTTCAGCATTGGCAAGAAAACATGGTGTTCACAGATCAACAACAACAAGGTGGTTTCAAGAAATTAAAAAACACATTCAACAGGGGGATGTTGTAGATGTCAGGAGCAAAAAATTAGGCACAATAGGGAAAAAGCCAAAAGAATACTCAGATGAATGGCTTATGTCTGTGCCTCTGTATAAGAGAACCACAAACAGAAGTTATGGTGCAGCTCTGAATGTAAATCATGTACTCATACACATGTTAAAGAAAAAGGGAAGACTAAGGGCTATCACAGCAACCAATCACCCAGCATTATCTGACAATCATAAAATAGCAAGGCTAAAATGGGTGCTGCAGCATATAGAACCTGTTCCAACAGAGGGAGACCCATCATGTATGGATTTGCAACATTACATCCATATTAATGAGAAGTGGTTCTATCTAAACCTAGAGACAAGAACCTTTTATCTAACACCTAATGAAGAGGTACCATACAGAGCACAACAATCAAAAAGTTTCAAGTTGAAGGCAATGTTTATGGGGATGATAGGGAAGCCACTGTATGCACAGGATGGGACTCTACTGCACTCAGGGAAGTATGGGCTTTTCCCTTTTGTGAAGAAACAAATGGCAAAGAAAAAGAGAAAGAACAGAGAGGCAGGGACTATGGAAACCAAAGCAATTCAAAGTGTCAACAGAGATGCTATTAGAGAGATGATTTTAAACAAAATCATTCCTACTATTCATGCTGAATGGCCACAACAACTAAGCAAGAACATTGTAATACAGTGGGACAATGCAAGGCCACATCAAGTTCCTAATGATGAAGAATTTGTGGCAGCAACAAAAGCTAATGGTTTCAACATTCAATTTGTTTTCCAGCCTGCCCAATCCCCTGATTTAAATGTGTTATACCTTGGTTTATTTAAGGTCATACAATCTATCCAATATTAGTCCTTCCCTAAAAACTTGGATGAACTTATTAAGAAGGTGGCAGAGGCATTTGAGGTTTTTGATCCTACCCTCAACAGATACACATGGATTACTCTCCAATCATGCATGATAAAAGTGCTTGAGAAGCAAGGAGGTAATAACTTTAACCCACCACACATGTCAAAGGCAAGACAAGCAAGGGAAGGGACTTTGGGAGACATACTAAAGGTAAGCAGGGAACTCATTGCTGACACTGTGAACTACCCCAACACCCTTTTTGTTCCTACTACAGGGCCTCAACCAAAGACAGAAGATATGGAAGTAGATGCTGATTAAGAATGATGCAGACATACAACTTTTTGAGGATGAAGATGCAAGAGACAATTTTTTGAAGATTGAAGACTGACAGAAGATGCTTTGCAAGTTCATGGACTGCCACACATAACCATTAATAGTAAAACTTGTTTTTTGTTTGTTTTAGTAATGGTTAGGTGTATTTTGTGAAGTAACTTAGGTAGTTTAGTTAGGCAGTCATGACATACAAGTGTATAGGGGCTAGTACATTTGTAAAGATCAAAACTTTTTGAGAAATGAAATGAAACCATTCAAAAGGCACCTCTAAAGTATGACAAAAATCCATCAGATGGGTGTGTATTTCTACATATACCCCAAACTAACAAGGTACGTCAACAACAAGTTCATAATGAAATTGTTGGAGCATCCTTTATTAGGGGGTACAATCATGTGAGTCCCTTCATCATTTGGATCAACAAAGGACAATGAGGCACATCACAAGAGGGGGACTCAATTACTCATGCATACAAGCAACATCAGGGACTCAATGCCTTATTCAAACATCAATCTAATGAGACTCAATCTCAAATGAGTCAGTGCATAAGCCACACACACAACAATGGGTTCCAATTCACCATAGGTTCAATCACACATACATTATTACAATGGGACTCAAATTCAACTGTCTCAAACCACAAGCCAGACACACAACCTTTGAGAATCAACTACAACAACAAATAAACACCAACAACATGAGTATTCTCCAGAAGAAACACCACCAAAACCATGCTCATCATCCATACAGTACAACATCCCCATTCACTTAATCATCATAATCAATAGCAAATCAATGAACAACAACAGTGAAACACAAACACAAACCCACGTACTCAGCCTACATCAGGGACTCAGATCAAACAACCAACAGAAATTATAGCAACAGATCAAAGAATCAGGGACTCATAGCAAACAGGCAACAACATCACCAAATTAAACATAAATTAAAGGAAATAGGGTTTAGTCATAGTTACGTTGCTGTTCAAAGATCTAGGGGGAAGTCATTAGGGTATTTATCCCTAATATATGCCAAGTAATCTAGATCCCAGAGCTGTAGTCTTCCTTAAAGACAGATCTGGAGCGTTTCTGTCTCCTAGGAGAGGTAGCGCCGCCTTCTTCCTTTCCCGGACTCTCCTCCTTCTCCAGGTCACCTTCTATTGGGGACTCCTTCTCCCCGACTGGCTTTGGAACATCAACACCACCGGATTCATGCAGATCTGGAACAACTATCACCTCAGCAACCACCTATGTGGGTGGATCTACAACCACAACATCATCCTCGTCTTCGCCGGAGTGATAATCCAGCTTTGCCCCAATTTTTCCACTCCTGTACCTCGCAAATATCGGAGTGCACCTTTGCACAGCCCTCATCACTCCATCTCCACGTCTAGCAGCATAAAGAGTGCTCACATCGTCCTTCTCATCAGATTTAAGGGACTCCAGTTCTCTTTTTTTGGAACTCATTTTCCAGAATTTGTAAAGGAAATTTTCTTAGGGTTTCACAGTAGAAAGGGAAGAGAGAGAACAGAGAAGATAGAGGAGAGAGAGAATGTGCGTGAAAAATAGATCTAGGGTTTATGAACACAATCTGGAGAATTCTCCAAAAGAAGAAAAGACTGGGCTGCATCATCGAGGAGAATTGAATGAAGAACATTCAATTGGGTGGTTGGAATCAGAAAAGTTGTTGATGATTTAAGAAGAGGAGGAGTTAATTTTGGTGGGAATTGTTAGTGTAGATTAGAAATCAGTAAATTAGATTACAAAATTAAGCAATGTGTTAAACACACACTTAAACATTCTTAAAAAAAAGGTAAGCGTAAATCTGTCTTTTTGCCCACAAAAACTTACTATATAAGGAAAAAAATGTTGCGAGTAATGTGTAACACCCATAAATGGTAATTGTTGCGAGTAAATCGTAACGGAGGGAGTATATTAATCAAATATGGGGCAATATGCTTTTGTTACGTGACTAAAAAATAGCTTGTAGGCTGACTAAAAAATAGCTAACCAAATTTGGCTGACTAAAAAATAGCTGAGTTTGTTTCCAAAAAAAAATCGAGACTCGATAATGATCAAACACTTCAAAGTCGTGTCCGTGACCGAACTCGAAGGGGGCAATTTGTAGGCACGAAAAATTTATAAAAGTGCCACATCAAATATTATATGGGTCAAAAGTCAAAGCATTGACTCCTATTTATTTGACTATTAATCAAACTTTACTATTTTGGGTGAAATAAATTAAAGTAACCCATTTTAATTATTTTTAATTAATTTGTTTATTTAATAGTGAAAACCTATTAAAATGGGTTAAAGTATCATAAATGAGTCATATTACCTCAAAAGCCCAATACATATCAAACCCTAACCCTAAGAGTCACTTACTCTATAAATAGAGCTCTCTCTATTTCATTTGAGAGGAGGAAAACCCTAAAAGAGAGAAAAATCAAAAGAAAACCTATCATCAAATACTCTAAACATCTCTAGAGAAAACCTCTCAAAACCTAGAAGAAGAACAACAAGCATTCGACGTGTCGTTCTACTCTAGAAGATCACTCGTGGAAGATATCAAGCCTCAACGACCCTCAACACAAAGGAAATAAGGACTTCAAATCATCAAGAACACCAGTTCAACCTCTACATCAAATAGTCATTGATCGAGATCAAGCCTCGTCGGCCCTCAATCAAGAATTCAAGTCAAAGGTCTACATCAACAACAAGTCAAAGGTATACATCAAAGATAAGTCAAAGTTGTGCATCAAATCTTCGATCGAGATCAAGCCTCGATGACCCTCGATCGTTCGAGAATCAAGTCAATTCGTGAATTACGTCAAAGTCAAAGTGGAGATCGAATCAGAGGAGCAAATTAGAGATTGTACCCAATTATATCATATTAATAAAATTAACACTTTGTTTCATTTATTTTGAATCTATATTTTGCTGATTTAAAATTTGTGTTTACAAGGGTTACTTGTATTTTTTTTTTCAGAGGTTACTTGTATTTTTTTCTTAGGGGTTACTTTTTTTTTTCAGGGGTTACTTGTATGGATTACTTATTCAGAGGTTACTTGTATTATAGAGGGGTTACTTGTATTTTTTTTAGGGGTTACTTGTATGGATTATTTATTCAGGGGTTACTTGTATTATTCAAAGGGTTACTTGTATTTTTTTTTCAGGGGTTACTTGTATAGTTGTATGGATTACTTATTCAGGGGTTACTTGTATTTTTTTTTTCAAGAGTTACTTGAATTTTTTTTTCAGGGGTTACCTGTGTTTTTTTTAGGGGTTACTTGTATGGATTAATTCAAGGGTTACTTGTATAAGTTACTTATTCAAGGGTTACTTGTATGAATTACTTATTTAGGGGTTACTTATATGAGTTACTTCAAAGGTGACTTGTATGAATTACTTATTCAAGGGTTACTTGTCACTTATTCAAGGGTTGCTTGTAAGCCCCATACCAAACCAGTAACACCCTACAAGTAACCCTAAGCAAAACTAGTAACCCCCTACAAGTAACCCCTAACCAAATCAGTAACACCCTACAAGTAACCCTTGAAAAAAAAAACTAGTAACACCCTACAAGTAATCCCTAACCAAACCAGTAACACCCAACAAGTAACCCCTGACCAAAACCGGTAACACCCTACAAGTAACCCCTGGCCAAAACCAGTAACGCCCTACAAGTAACCCCTGACCAAACCAGTAACACCCTCACTAAACTAGTAACACCTTACATGTAACCCCTGACCAAACCAGTAACACCCTACAAGTACCCCTGACCAAACTAGTAACACCCTACAATTCTTGAAATATTCGATCTAAGATTCCACGAAGTAAACGGGCTCACATTTCTTTGGTTCTCATCGATTTCACTACTTCAAACGTTGTTGATGATCTTAAGGATAATTAATCACAATTTTTCACAGCAATTTGACACCCAATTTCTACAATTTTGGGCTTTAATTGCAGCAATTTGGCAAAGAGGAGAGAGAAAATAGGTGGAGTAGAGATGTGGTTGTTGGTGATGTGTGGTTTGGTTTGTAGATGAAGCTAAGAAAAGAGGAGAAATAAAATGGGTAGAGTAGAGATATAATTGTTGGTGATGTGTGATTTGGTTTGTAGATGAAGAAAAGAGGAGAGTGAAAATGGGTGGTATAAAGATATGGTTGTTGCCTTGTTGGTGATGTGTGGTTTAGCTTGGAAAAGAAGATAAGAAAAGAGGAGAGAGAAGAGTTGTGGTATTTTTTAAAAAAAAAATAATAAAAATTGTTGCTGGCCACACCGTGTGGCCAGCCACATACAAAAATATATGTTAGTTGAAACAATAATATGACATACAAGTAACATTTTATATCATTAAAGCAATATACTTCCTTTAATTATCAATAATATCTTTATGCTAATATTTAATCAATAATATCTTTAATTATCAATAAATATAAATTCTAACAATTGAAATAAATAATCTATTTATTGAAAAGATTCCAACATGTACCCACAAGACTATATTTTTTCTTGTGTATAAATCACAAACATTAGTCAAAGTAGGACAAATGAATAGTGCAAAAAAAAATGGAGCAAGTATTTAAAAATGGAGGGAGTATTCTTGTAATACCTAGTATTTTTATATTATTTAATTCATTGTAAAATATATTTTTGTGTCAAATTATTTTAATTATGGGATTTAAATAATACAAGATTTAATTTTTAGGTCAATAAGTATTCAATTTGAATGTAGTCCATCTTCATAATAAACCCAATCATTCTATTTTTATATTTGGACTACCTACACAATTTTAATAAAGCCTAAACCTACTCTAACCTATAAATACTCATTCAATCTCCAAGTTTTTGCCACCCAAAAGGTCAAATGGCCAAGGTAAGCTATTTTCCCTTTTTCTTTCTTTTCTTTTTCCTTTCTTTTTTCTTCTTTTCTTATTCTTTTTTTTTTCTCCTTGCTTTTACGTGGGTTTTGGGTAGAGGTAGGCAACGTCTCGTGTCGGGCCACCGCAGGCCGTGTCGTGCCTGCTTCTTGGCGGGTCGTGCCGTGCCATGCCACCATTTGGTATACCCCAGCCCATGGCACGACACGACTCACGTGCCCGACGTGCCATGCTATGCCAGGCAGCGGACCACCCATGTTAACGTTTGGCCTTGTCTTTATCTTAACCCTACGACGACCCATTTCTTATGGTGAGTAGTAGGGACAGTTAAAGAGAATTTTTTCAGGTGATGCGGCAAATTCATGTTAAGGTTTGAGTGAAGAGTGAATCTTATATTCTAGTTTTATCTTGAATATGTATTTATTATTGATTATTGGTTGATTATTGCTGTTTAATGAGACTATTGCATTAGATTTAAACATTTATTTGATTTTGAAAGGGCCTATAGTTAAGGATGGAAATATCCAACGGATGATCCGACCACTCGGTCCATCCGCTTTATTAAACGGGTGAAAACCCCGGTTTATATGGATGAGAGGCGAGTGACGGGTGAATTGGGTGATGGATCGGGTCGGATTCGGGTGGTGGTTAATCCCATCCGTCACCCATCCATCCATCCGTTTAGTATTATAAATATTCTTATTTTTTAAAAATGAATATAAATATCTTATAAATATATAATGTTTGCATATTAGAAGTTGTATGGTACAATTATATTGTATTTTTTATGTTAATATTTGACATATCACAATTATTTTACAATAATTTTTTTAATATTAAAGGGTTAAAATAGTTTTCTCAAGTTTTTTTTTTTTTTTATCTAAAATTAATTTTTATTCACCCACCCGTTTACCACCCGGCCCATCCATCCGTTTCACCCGCGGATGGTGGATGGATGGATTTCGGGTGATGTATTATGCGGATGATAGATGGATTTCGGGTGTTGTATTATGCGGATGACGAATGCTGGTGGAGCTCCACCCGATCCGAACTCGATCCATTTCCATCCCTACCTATAGTGGTTAGGTTTGGCTTTGTTTGACTTCACTCTTGTTTGGTGGACCGTTGGACTTTGACTTTGTTTTGAAAGGTTTTGAAATGTCTTCTGCTGTGTATGTTTGATAAATATCTTAGCCATTATCACATTGGCGGTAATGCCTTGGTTATTTCCTATGTTTTTTTTAAAAGGGTAAAAACATGTATTTCAAAAAGGGGAAATTTCCAGGGTGTTACAATTCATTATTTTTAATAGCTTATAAAATATATAGAGGGTCATGTCCCTATGAGCCCGAATACTATAATGTGCTTCCGCAGTTCAACACCTAAGTTTAACTCAAACGCTGCTCACCTCTTGTGTTTTGACAATAATGAGGAAACTGAGTAATATAAAATTTGCCAATCACCATAATTGAATGGGAGAGAAAGTAATTGAAAGATACACATGACATTCTTAGGTGTCGTTTGATTGCTATGGGAAACTTCCCATAGGAATTTGTATTTCATGGGAATTAAACTCCTACATCAAATTCATGGAAATTTCATAAAGTTGTCTAATTGACATTAAGAAAGTTGCAAATTATGGGAATTTTGACTTACCAAGGGGGATTGGTAAAGGCTACAAATACAATTGTTGTATGTGGTCCTTTCATACAACTTTAAGTTGTCATGTTTTTATTGGCTATGAGCCCAAGTTCCATTTAATTCAATTTATATTTGACTCTTAATTTTTTTTCCCTCTTTTACTGATGTGTCAAAATTCTAATGGTGTTATATGTAGGGACAACATACAATGGTTGTATATGTATCATCTCTCGGGTTGGGTAATTAACTTTCCATGTTTGAGGGAAGTCACAATTCCCATGAATTTGTAATTTACTCGTTTACACTTTTTATTGTCAACCAAATATCTTACTCATTTTCAAAATCTCGTGATTTTCCATTTCCCCCATTTTCTTTGTGTAACCAAACAACCCCTTACTATTTTTGTTGTTGTTGTTCTATTTGCTTGCAAGTTACAGGGCAATAATGAGTTACACCGTTCAAAAACTTTTTGATCAAATTTAGTTCGAGCCCTTAATAAACCCAACCAGGCGAGCAAGGTTGAACGTGAAGAATGACTTCTTCTTCTTTTTTATGGATTCTTCTAAAATATAACATCTTATAATTAATTATATCATAGATTTGATCAATAATTGCCTTAATATAAAAATTCCATCTGAAACAATACAATTTGTGAATTAGTTCAACATGAAATCCACTAATGCATAGTTGTTTAAGTGAAAATACTCATTGGTTCTATAGACACTTACGAAAATTATGTGGTCCAAAATTATCAATCATAGGCAGACGAACAAACAAATAAATTAAACACACTAAAATAACTATCATTTCTAGGATGATAATAAGATTTATTTATTAAAAATAAGGAAATTTTCACTTTTGCTACCAGCAAAACACATGTACTTCACTTTTGCTACAGGGAAAAGTTTTAATTTTATTTTACTACCATACAAAAACAAGTTTGTTAAAAATTGCTACCACTTAACGAAATCCGTTAGAGTTCCGTTAAGTTTATTCAAAAAATTAAAAAAATAATTTTTTGTAAAGAAGAAAAACCCAGCCACCACCTTCAACTGCCAGTCCCCTCCCGTCAGCCACCCTCCCCATGTCGGAGGCCGACGCCCTAAGCGTTTCTCGGCGCCGGCGAATCCACTCCCCCTCCTCCACGTACGCAGCCCACCCCCTTCCCTTATCCCCTTCTCACTGCCCCAACCCCTATCCTGAAACTGGAAAACAACCCCCTCCTCCCCATCCCCCCACCGGAATCGACCCCCCTCTCATTCCCCCACCCTGAATCAATCCCCCTTCCTCTTCCCCACCCAAAACCGCCACCCCTAACCCTTACACACCAACCCAAAACCACCACCCGTAACCCTTAAACACCAGCCCGAAACCACCCTAAACGGGATTTAGGGTTTCGTTTATGGTGGTGTAGCAAAAGTGAAGTAGGAGTGTTTTAGTGCTAGTAAAAGTGAAATTTTCCTAAACATAATTAAAAGTTTTTGGGGGTTATTATCAGTAAAAAAACACTAGTAAAAGTCCTTGCAAAGAAAATTCACAACCAAAAAGGAGAGAAAAGGCCGAAGAGTGAAGAAAATCTTGAAAAAACTTAGTAATGAATATTTGGTGTTCGGTTTGAATTTTGACTCAAAATTAAGGGTGAGAGAGAAGTGAGAAAAGGAATTGTGTTCGACAGTTTTAGAATTTAAAATGAGGAGATCCTGAGAGAGGATAAAGGTTGTGGGAGAGGACATATTTTTCTTTTTAGGTTTAAATATACAAAAGGGTATAATCATAAAGACTTTTGAAGGGGTTTAGGTTATGCGCCAAAATTTGGTTTTATATTCGATTTTCGGTTTTCTACTATCCAAAACCAAATCCATATTAAATTTTTTTTTTCCAAACTATAACAATTCAAAAAAAAAAAAAAAAAAAAAACTAAATCGAATTACTAATTTATATTGATCTTCAATTCGCTTCAATTTTAATTTGAAAAATTTTCACCCTTACTTTCTAGGGAGAAACAAGAGAACCAGATAAAACCCCTACTAAATTGTTGAAAGTGTGTTCACATTAAAAAAAAAAAAAAAAAAACAAGAAAAAAAAAAAAGAGGAAGGAAGAACTTGCTTCCTTGATAAGAGTATTGAATGTTTGAAAAGAGGACCAGTCAACCCCGAATCTTCCACTTCACATTCACTAAAAACGCGTTTGAGTAACCCCGCCAGCCAACCCATTATTATTACAGTCAAAACCTCGCAACAACAACATCAACTCTTCATTCCATTACTTTGTACATTCAAAAAGTCCAACCTACCCCACCTCTTCTTTCAATTTTAATCCCTAGAAAACCCTTGATTTCTTGCAAATATTTTTTTTTTTTTGATTTGGGTTTTTTTTTAATCTATTAAAAAGCCTTGTTCTTGCTGCTTTTTTCAACTTATCTGAGCTCAATCCTGTTCAAAAATGGCAAAATCTGATGCATTAATCACTACATTAAGCAATGCAATCCAAGCAGTTGGAAGAGGGTTTGATGTTACTTCAGATATTCGATTGTTATACTGTAAAGGGGCACCTGGGTCTCGATTAATTCATATTGATGAAGATCATAAAAGGGATATTTTGATCTCTGATGATGTTGTTCTTCCTAATGTTTCTGTTGATATTGAGTATTCTCCTGGGAAAAAGGCTTGGGAAGCTACTCCTGTTTGTAACTTTCATGAGGTGACAATTTTTACTTTTTTTTTAATTATATGTTTATTTTCTAAGTTGGTTTTGCTTTTTGTGGTGGAATTATTATCTGGGTATTTCTTAGAATTTTGATTGATGCTGTATTGCTGTGTGTGTGTATATATATATATATATATATATGTTGAGGTTTTTTGGCTTGTTTGTGTTTATGTTGTCATTGCTTAGGGTTCCTTATTGTTTGAATTTCTCATTTGTATATTAGGAGATATGGTTTTAGAACTATTATTGTGTAATTGGACCAATTACCGAGGAGATAAAATATGGTTAGAGACTTGGTGTCAATTCCCGTCTACGTCAGTGTCTTTTGTGGCTCTCTCTACCCCAAAACAAGTGAATATAAGATAGATTTTGTATATGCTCATGGACTGTTATAATATTGTGAGTTTTGGTTTATGGGTGGTTGACTAAGGAAGGTTCACTTCAAAACCCCACCATACTGTGAAATGAGCAAGTTGGAAGTGTAGTATTATAGACTAGAGATGTCATTTTAGTCTTTATGATACAAATCAATTTTCGATGTACTTTGACAGATGGATGGCTTGGACATTACATAGGCCTAGAAACATCTCTTAAGCAGAAATCATTATCTATCTGCCACTACAGGGCCATTGTGTTCCAGATTCTGTCAAAGTAAACAATTATATTTGTAGCGATTGAAATTGAAACAGTTCTCTCTGTTATGTGATTTCTGTCCAACGCTGTTCAACTTGGACCAGTGTTTTGTAGTCCGTAACTGATGGACATCAGTCAATGCCTTATTGGGTATTATGCAGCCTTAATGCCTTGCCTTGGACCTACGAGCTCTGAAATGTTAAGAAAGGGTCATCCTGTCTGCAAAGATTGTCACATCTTAACTGGGTTTTGAATTTAGTATCTTTAGTAACCGTGTCCATCACTACTAAGGTACTATTTGCCAAGCACAAACATATAGGGTAAAAAGGGATCATCCTATCTCCTCCCGTTTTTGCTTGAAAAGACAATGTGGAGTCACCATTGAGCACAATTTGCTTTCTTTAAACTGAACGCGAGCCCAGAATCAGCAATCTTTGGTTTGAATACTCCCATTCAAAGATATCATAAGCTTTCTTCAATTCCACTTCAGTTGTGGTCTTAGAGTTATGTTCTTCCTTCCATAGAACTTCATAGATTCTAGTGCCAGTAGAGCATTATGATCAATAGCTGCTTGGAGAAGTCTGAATCAGTAATTTGCCACATAAGCAACTGAGCTCTGATGTTATCGAGAAGGATCACCCTGTCAAAAGAATTTGTCATATTGTAGGTAGAAATGTGACATTGACTTCTTCAAGCATTAACTCAGTTCTGAGTTCTGACAAGACAACTGCAAAGAAGTCTGGATTGATCATCTCACAAGATTTCTTCATTTAGAAACAAAACCAACCACACGGGCTACTTATCAGAATTGATGGTTCATACTGTCTTCTTTGATTCCATAATGGCAAAATCTGCATAGATGTCCATGTACTTCTGGCTTGGAAGCATTGGCCTATAGCTTGCAAGCCCCGGTTCAATAGCAGTGACGGACCGAATATACTATCTTTAACACTCCGAAAAGATCCTAACTCCTCCCACCAAAGCAGGATTAGTCAAAATCTTAAAACTCTGTATATTGTTTTATTTAACCAGTACACTATTTAGCTTTAAAATCAGCTATTATTTAATGTGACTCCATTATGGAAAAGGTGTTTTCAACTCCTTTGGTTTTTGCAATTTTCTAATCCATCCCTGCTATGATCCGGAAAACTAATGGGCAACAGATCCTATTTGGCTTTTATATTATAATTATATTAAACACCAACAAGTCCAATCTCAAGTTAGTTTATACTGAGCTGATGAGCTCTACTTTCATACTTTTCAGCTATGTTACTTGGACTCGGATGAAGTGTCAAATTAGACACGGGTGTCCAAGCATCGGACTCGCCCATTTTCTTGAAAAAAGTTGTGTTTTTAGTTAAAAATGAAGTGTCCAAGTGTCGGTGTCAGTGTCCGACACGAGTCGTGTCGACACGGACACGTGAGGTAAAGTAAATGAAAGAGTCCGAGTAACATAGCTTTTCAGTTTTTGCAAAAGTAGGAGATCCTACTTAATCAATGTTTTAATTTTGTAACGAAGATTCAGAAGTGACATCTTCAGCCCAACAATTGAACCCCCCCCCCCCCCCACAAAAGCATTCTCCTTATTTACTACATGAATTACTAGAGTGCTATGATCAGATGTACCTGGCTCTTAAACTTCAACTTCAGCTGAGAGTTGTGTTATGTGCCACATTGAATTGCCAATAAGCCATCCTTGTTTTAACCCTTTTCAGCAACTTAATCTTTTTGGAGTTGTTTTAAGTAAATATAGATTTTTTCAATGTGAGTTTTAAAACATTGATACATGCACCCCGCTCTTATGTCTGTGTTCAGTGAAAATGCTGTAGCTCGGACTATTGCTAGATCGATTAATGAAGTATTGTTACTCAAGGAGATATTTTACTAGTGTAATTGATCTCCAGTATTGGTATTTGGTCTTCTTGAAATTTCAAAGGTCCATACAATATATAATTTTTACATCTTTATATTGAAATTCTTATGCTGATCAGTTTTTTCTCGAGACATTTCTGTTTTTTATTAGTTGTCATGGCCTAAGTGGAGCTGAATTATTTAAGTATTTGTACTTTATTATTTGACATTGGTCTTATTTGGACATATATATTGGATTACGGAAAATTCATATATGGCTGAATGTTTAATTGTAATAAAAACTTGTTTTCATTCAGATGTCAGAGCATTTCAATAAGAAGTCAGGATTGACTGGAAGTATACCCCTTGGAAGCTTTAATGCCATGTTTAATTTTAGTGGTAATTGGCAAGCTGACGCAGCAGCTACTAAATCCCTTGCAATGCTGGGCTATTTCATACCCTTGTACAAACTTCAATTGAAATCGCAATTAGCTTTGAAGGATGAAATTAAAGCTGCAGTTCCTTACACCTGGGATCCTCCTGCTCTGGCAAGGCAAGTAAAATTAGTTAATCCTTCTGTCCCATATTACTTTGAACACATATCAGTGATATCACATTAACTATTGGAGATAAGCTGTTTGGTTGTATGTTCTTTAAATAGAAAAATATATGTGATGGGAGTTAGTGCTTTAGTGGGGTATTTGTATGATTATTTTAATTTAACTTAGGAAATAAACAATTGATAATTGGTAGGACCCTACCAAAAAAAAATGAAGTGTTTTAATCTGTCTAAACACAAATGAAAGTGATAATTAGGGATGACAATGGGTTGGATTCGGATCGGGTTATGGAAAATCTAACTTCGACCCTACAAGCTGTTAGAATTTTAACCCTCCTCCTCCTCCTTTGACTTTGTCATTCGACTCTGATCCGACTTAAAATTCCAGCATCCGACTCCAACTCTGACTCCAACCCGACCAACTTTGACTCCAACTCTCACACTTATTTTGATCTAATAATCAATAGCAGCCAAATACCTAATCAATGTCAAAAACCTGTAAATCCATTCATTGAATAATAAAAAAATATAAAAGTACATATATAAGTCAGATTTAGATCAGATATGTTACAAGAATCCGATTCTGACCCTCCTTTGACTTGGAGTCGAATTCAGTAATACAGAGTCGGATTCGAATTATTATTTCTTGGATTTGGCTCGGATCTTTTTCTTCAGATAAGATCAAACCATGGTCTGGACTAGATTGTCATCCCTAGTGAATAGTGTTCAAATCTTGGGGGTATCATATTCTATAATTTCGTTTCATACTTTCTAGATTCCTATTTTGATTCATTCTCATTTTTCTGCGGTATATTCTCTTTTTTCTCATCTTTATCTACTTAAGTTTCTGTGGTACATGCTCTCTTTCTCTCATTTTTCTGTGGTACCTGATGTTTACTTTCATTGTGGAGTATGTGTACCTTTTTAATAACTCTTCCTAAGCTACTCACTTTGTTTTTGGCTGTTTTTTATTTATTTATTTATTTATTTTTTATTTTTTTATAAACCTTTTCTTGTTAGAATTAGAGTACATCAGAATATTCACCGGATCAAATCTTACTTCCAATTGCTTATTACCATGTATCTTTAATTTAGTATTTGTAAAAGTTATGAAGATTTTATGTCTGAAATTACGTGTTGAGACGAATCTAATAGGATTCCACTTGATAATGTTTTTTCTTATACATAAACGTACAATTAAGGTCAAAGTTATGTAACACAATCACATCATACTATCAAAAGGGGACGGAGGGAGTATGTCAGTAAAAAAAATTATGGTCAAAGTGAGACCTGTAAATAGTCAAAAGTCAACATATCGTCAAGCCTGAGTAGACTATTAGAGGTAGTAGCTGTCCCACTTGGTTTTTCATGGTCTTCAATGCACACCATTCTAGTATTAAGTTATGTGTTTAAAGTAATTACCAGTAGTTGATATTATGTAATAATCATTATAATATTTTTGTAGTTATAAGGAAAGGAGTTACATTCATGGTTTACAATCTTTGATTTTAATTAATTAAAGCTCATTTGTACTGTTGATTGTGATTATGATTGTGCTGGTGAAGCTATTTGTTTTAGTATGTTATTTCTCTTTTGCCTACCTTATTCAACTAAGAAGTTGTGTCTATTCTTGTTGTCTTTCACAAAAAATTGGTTAATCGAATGGCCATTTTTCCCTCCTTTCTAGTACGGCCTTGTCTTCACCTTACTAAAAATAATATTCAATAAAAGTAAGTTTGATTTGTAAATATAATTGAAATTCAGCATAAATAATATGATCTTAGTAAAAATAATATCAGCTCAACAATAATCAGGTGAAGAGAGTACATGCCTAATAACTTTTCAAAACAATCACAAATTCACAACTCACAAGGTATATTGAGTTTATTTTTCTTCCTTTGAGATTTTTAGATGATAGCATTATCCTATTTTTATTGCTGATTGACCACATAGCACCTATAAGAAAAAGTTCAGAATTATTGTTGGGCATGCTTGATGCTTGAATTCTGTGTATGCCCTAGTAATTTAAGTTATTTTCCTCAAGAAAGTTTGATATTTCCTGGATCTATGCATAATGTTACTGTCACCTAATTCTGATTGTAGTGCACTTTACTTATTGGTTTTTGCAAATAAAAATATAGTAACAATTTACAATCATAAATTCAAAAGTGCTTTTGTATGTATTTTATAAAAACCTGAAATGGATAATTCTGTTATTTTTTTCAATGTCCTATCCTAGGAAGTCGATTAGTCTCCCATGAGGGGCGGACCTTTAAAGGGGCGGGCAAGGGCTTGGCCCCCCTTAAAATTTGGCCCAAAGTTTTTATATTTTACATCTAGTAAAAAGCCCAAAAATTACCTAAAAAAGTTGGATCAAGCGTCCAAGCTTACTTGGAGTATTCAGTTTGTCTCTTTTGCACAAATCCCAAACTCCAAAGCAAATGAACACACACGTGAAATCACTAATCACTACTAGTTAGCTGTAAATTAGACTACACAATTACAATATTACCCTTTTAGTTTTCTTTTTTGTAAATCTATGATTCTATCTATAGATAATTTTTATCGAAATTATTATTTCCTCTTCAATTTTTTTGATAAGTCTTGGCTAATGAATTTAGCTATAATCTGACTTGTATTTATTATTCATAGTAAATAATAAGGAGTACCTTCATCCACGCTTTTGAAATTATGAGTTATGGAAGTAATGTCTAAGGTTAATTACTTATTGAAATAGGATTATATAAATGATTATTTTATTTTTATGGTATTTGTATAATAATTAATAATACTTTCTCCGTTTATTATTAGTTGACACCGTTTGACTTTTACACTATTCACACACTACACTTTGACTCGCTTTTTTGATTTATAGATACGATAAAATATAGTCATGTAGGATTTTGTTTGAATCGCCTCGATGTATATTTTTTAATATCCAATTTTTATAATTTTAAAATGTTGATAATTAGAGTTATTAAGCATTTAAAACATGCGTTGGCAAGCGTGTTAATAGAAAGGTGTCAACTAAAAAAAACAGAGGGAGTATTAGGGTAATATATATATATATATATATATATATATATATATATATATATATCGTATAATTAATAATATTATGGTAATTTGGCCCCCCTAAGAAAAATTGTCAAGAGCTGAAATCACAAAATAATGATGGCTATTACCAGTTTTACGGTTTTACCACCTTCGTTTCAATTTATATGCAACGATTATACATTTTCTACTCACACTTTATGTAAAATCATTGCAAATAATTTGAAACAGCGGTAGTGTTCCTTTTTTTGAACATCAAAAGAAAGATGCAAAGTAGGGGGACCAAAAGTCCATAAAATGAGGGAAAAGAACATATAAAATTAAAATCAGGAAAGGTCCAATAGATTAAATAAGACTCGGGTCTAAGTCAAATTGGATGTTTCGGTAAAAGTTATGCAAGATATTACATGTTCATGTTGTTCAACCGTTCATGTTCTTAATATAACATAGATGATGTTCTATATATGGTATCCAATGCAAACATTTACGCTCTTTTAAAGGATAGTGAATGGTATTAAAATAACAAGAAGTATCATCAGTCTGCATGGTTTTCATGGAGTATCATCAGGAATAAGTGACAACTTATTAGGTTCTCAATCTTTGCTCTTTTTAAGGATAGTGAATGGTATTAAAGTCACAAGAAATATCATCAGTCTGCTTGGTTTTCATGGAGTATCATCAGCAATAAGTGACAACTTAGTTTCTCAATCTTCACTCTAAGGATAGTGAATGGTATTAAAGTACAAGAAGTATCGGAGTCTACATGGTTTTCATGGAGTATCATTAGGAATAAGTGACAACTTATTAAGCTCTCAATCTTCTCATAAGAAACTAATTTCTATAACGATGCCTGATAGATTTATTGTTTGTTCCATAGGCATGACCATCTGCAATACTCTAGTCATATAGTGTTTTTGTTGTTTTAGCAACTTAAGGTAGACACACACGCACAGAATCACCCTTGTAATCTTGTCTTAGTGATTTAATTAATGTTAAAAATGTTTGGTATTGAATTGGTACGGCAAATGTTTATATTCTGCTGATATCCCTTGTTTTTTTTGCTAAAAACTTGGGAATGAGGTTTCTGAATTCTGATTGATGGCTCATTTGAATTTTCTTTTTTCTTTTTCAGTTTTATTGAAAATTTTGGTACCCATGTTGTTAAATCGACAACCATTGGTGGGCGGGATGTAGTTTATGTCCGACAAGACCAATCATCACTTTTGTCGGCATCAGATATTGAGAATTATATGAAAGACATTGGGGATCAGAGATTTACAGACTTGAGAGGCCAGCCTAATGCTCCCCCTCTGAAATACAAGGACAAGGCTAGTATTGCTGCTTACCTGCTTTGCTCAAACAAAAATAATTATTAAATTTTTTATTCTTGATTGGTTAAAAAAAAAAAAAAGATATAGTAGGTGCAGTTTTTTTTCTGGGTGTGTTTCTTGTGAGGAGTGTCTCTCTCTCTCTCTCTCTCTTTCTTAAATTTCAATGGAAGAGAGGAGGAAGGAGTTCTTATTTTCCTCCTTGTGCCTCTAAGTTACTTACTAAATTGAAGTGGGCAGAGTATCAGAATGTGATAAATCAATATAATCTTGCAGGATGTTACTGTTATTTTTAGAAGAAGAGGAGGCGACGATCTTGAACAGAGTTCCATCAAGTGGGCAGAGACTGTCTACTTATCACCGGATGTAATTGACATGACTTTTGAACCTATAGTCTCTCTTCTTGAAGGAGTACCTGGTCTTAAACATTTAGCCCATGCTATTGAGCTCTATTTGGAGTGTAAGGTTCTCTTTACAAGTCACATCTACTTGATTTTCCATTTTTTTCAGTATTTCTTTCCTTCTAGTATTATGTAGTTTTCATTCTGTAAGTTTTATAGGACTACCACACTTTGCTTAAAGCATTCTTCATTACAATAAATTGTTGTCATATGCAACAGTCATCAGTAACTCAGCATACTAATAAAGACTTGTATGTTTTTACCAGTACCGTGGATCCATAATTCCATACTGTAACAACAAAGAATTAGCTGGGCATTTCGTATAGAGATTAGAGAATGTTATTTTTATGTTCCTATGATCTGCAATCATGTCTGTTAGGAGAAAAATAGGATCCCATCTGAAATAATCACTGCCTCTGTCCCGTACTAATATTTGTCCTTTTAATTTGAGATGCCACAGCTGATGTTCCTAGATATTTGTATGTATCATTCATCAATAGTTCATTAGATATCTAATTTGCTACACAAGGTTACTTTTTCTAGAACAATATTTCCAGCATAAAATTTCTTATCCTGTTAATTTAGCTTTTTTTAGTCAATATGAAATATAATTTTGGCGCGGAGGGTGTAACATACGTACCATACATAATTAACTTTTAACTACAACTTTTTGTATCTGAGATTCCAATAATCTGTACTTAGCTGCATATGTAAACTAGTTTTCCTGTGTTACCTTGTAGCTCTAGAGCATCCAATTTCACATTCCGGTAGAAGAGAATTTAGATAACGGGATAACCCTCAATATTTACTGTCACTGTTAAAAAATGTAAAATAAAGTTCACTTTGACGTATGCAAGTTTTTTTATCTCAGAAAAGTTGTCAATCATATACGAAGTAGCAATTATTGCCCCTATGTGCATTCTTTGTTGTATCACTATTCTTTGTAGAGTAGATGTGTATCTGAGCTACTGTGGGAGAGTAAAAGTTATTTTGCATCTTACATTATTGAATTATATTTTTGATTTTGTCAGACAAGCCACCTCTTGAAGATCTACAGTACTTTTTAGAATTTCAAATACCTCGAGTCTGGGCACCTGAACAAAGCAATCTGCAAAGAAAAGAGCCTGTTTGTCAATCACTTCATTTCAGCTGGATGGGTCCCAAACTTTATATCAGCCCTGAGCAGGTGACTTGTCTATTCTGAGATTCTCATGATATAATGATATATTGATATGTTCTTTGAGTCTCTTGATAGCAGGCTGTCTTGTTATGTATGAGATCATACCGTAAGGTCTTTTGTCTTTTGGCGAACCAGATACGGTGACCACTGACATTCACACCCTTCTATTGGACAATTCCAAATAGTTTACTTAAACTTTTGCAATATAAGAATAAGATAGCACTTTTTATTTCAAAATTCTCTCTGACAAACAGTCCATGATGAAATTCAACAGGTAACAGTTGGGCGTAAACCAGTAACTGGTCTGAGGCTTAGCCTTGAAGGTGCCAAGCAAAATCGGCTTGCTATCCATCTCCAGCACCTAGTTTCACTCCCGAAAATCCTCCAACCCCATTGGGATTCCCACATGGCTATTGGTGCACAAAAATGGCAAGGACCTGAGGAACAAGATAGCCGTTGGTTTGAACCTATTAAATGGAAGCACTTCTCTCATGTCAGCACTGCTCCTATAGAATATAAAGAGACTTGCATTGTCGATCTTTCTGGTGTACATATTGTAACAGGAGCCCAACTTGGAGTTTGGGATTTTGGTGCTAAAAGCGTGCTGTATCTCAAACTCCTGTTTTCAAAGGTACCTGGTTGCACCATAAGACGATCTGTATGGGACCATACCCCTTTAAATTTTACTGCTTTGCATAAAGCAGATGGTACTTTATCTAATGAACAAACTCCAGAAGATAAGAGATTAGACAGCGGCAGTGCTGCAGCAAAGCTTGCAAAACTAGTAGACTCGACAGAGATGTTAAAAGGGCCACAAGATTCACCTGGTCACTGGTTAGTAACCGGTGCCAAGCTTGGCGTGGATAAAGGGAAAATTGTTTTGAGGGCCAAATATTCCCTTTTGAATTATTGATCATTTGTGGTGTTGGTTGTTTATTTCTTAGTCAAATTGAAGCTCCATCATTTTTTGTAGTCTTAGTCAACTGGATCTGATTGATTGTATATTCATGTAATAAGTGATGTGTTCTCAATTGTCAAGCTTTATTTGTATTTCTTTTGTTTTATTAGGGTTTACAAATTAGAAGTAGTGATGTTGCTACTCTAGAGCCTCTTTTCTTTTGGTTCAGGGTATTCCTTGGAAAAAAGAGGACTTGGTTGTTAAGTGCCTGTTGGTGCTGCAAATAATGTATAGGTTTCCGCTGAATGTTGAAACATTTAGCAATTCGGGTAATTGGGGCGTGTTCTTGATTAATTTTACATTGATTTCAGGCTCACAGAAGGAAAGAACTAAAATGTTGATGAGGCCTGTAATGTTGTTTATTTCACTCTAGGTGAAACATATGAACGTGGTAGCCATTTTAGCTATAGATTTTGTGGGCGTGACGCGTAAGCTTTATTTAGCCTATCGAGCTGGTATATAAAATATGAGTTCAAATCTCGTGCACATGATTCTTACTATAAGGTATTTGTGGCTGGGGTCAAGGAACATCCTGTCTGTCATTGGCCCTCAAGTTTCTCTTCAATCCATCAATTAACCATCCCAGATTTCTAAACTCAGTAAATTTGAGTACTTTAGTGGCATCTGGAATGGATGAGGCTATAAATGAGAAAATAAAGCCAACATAAAATGAATAATTTGGCTACATAATGAGAGTTAGGAACTAAACTCCCGAGCAAGTTAGTTCATTTGATTGACCTTGACTCAAGAAATTTATATTTATATTTATTTATTATATGTAGTAGTAAAGTCTTGCATTAGCAATAGGATCGTGTAAGCTCAAAGGTAAGTAAGCCTAATGTCACGTTGGTGACTAGTGAGCAGTGACTCCCTTCGTTTTTTAATACTTACTCCACTTTTATTTTAGGATTTTTTTTTAAAATAACACCACAGATTTTACAAAAAATGGATTATAACACCACATAATCTCAAACTTTGATTATAACACCACAAAAAAAATCCAAAAATTGGATCTCACCACCTTCTAACTGAATTTTGGATGAAATCCGTTAGTGGGACCCAAGATAGACAAGTGGCAATAAGACATTGGTTTAAAAAATAAAGGTAAAAAAAATTAAAAAAAAAAAAAGAAAAACACCCTATAACCCTAACCCAGCCACTAGCCCACCACCGGCAGCCGCGACTCCACGGTCGGAGACTCCTACTGACGTCGGCAATCCTTCCTTCACCGGCGAAATCACCGCCCATCATCCCCACCCATCACAGCCCCTCTCCCCTCGCTCAAATCCCACCAATCAATCCGTGCAAATCCTTACCACGAACCACCGAAACCACCCATGTCGTCGCCTCACCGCAAAATCGACCCGGCTGGGGCTTCGAAAGTGGTTTTTGACCGGTTTGAAGGTGAAGCAGAAGTACAGGGGTGGTTTTTCAGGGAGGAAGCGAAGTGGCTGGGAAGTTCGGCTGGGTTGGGTTAGGTTTCGGCTGACTGTGGTTTGGCGACGGTGTGGGCTGGGGTTTCGGCTAGTTTAGATTGGGGTTTCGATGGTGTGGTGACGATATAAGAGGTTTTGGGGTAGGGTATGGTGACGACGGTGGTTCAGCGACGGTCTCGGAGCTTCGGGGGTTAGGTTTGGGTGACGGTGGTGGGAACCCACCGGCGGTGGTGGCTGGTTTAGCATTTTAGGATTTTTTTTAAAAAAAAAATTTAATTTTATTTAATCCAATAGATGAGTGACATGTGTCCAAAGTGAGCTAATCAATTTTTTTGATTTTTATGTGGTGTTATAATACAAATTCGAGAAAAGGTGGTGTTATAATCCATTTTTTTCAAAATATGTGGTGTTATTTTCAAAAAAATCCTTTATTTTATTGTCGTTTTTAAATATTTATTTCATTTCCTTATTTGGAAATTTTTTCATTTCTCTCACCAAGTGGACCCAACATAAATCATATTTTATTAGTTTTATATTATCTCTCCTCCAATTCTCTCAACTACTTTTGCTTTGTACAATTTTTTAATCTTCTTCTTACCCTACTATTTCCACATTTTACTAGATTAGTACTCGTGCGATGCACGCTTTAATTAAAATTAAAAAAAAAATTAATAAGAGAGTGTAAAATAATTAACCACAAAATGAGGGTTTTTGAAAAGAGAAAAATCATTATTATGTTTTTGATTAATTGATATTCACACTTTTATTTATTTTTAAGAATTATTTTTTCCAATCTTGAATTTCGAAAGACAAAATTAGGGGAAAACAAAATAATGATGTCATAAGCAAATTGGAGGGAAATTTTTTAATGATAAAATGACATGTGTATACAGGTGATGTAAGCGGTTTTTTCTTTAGTTATAGTTACAGATTACTTTCTCCAATTTCTCCTAAAACTCCGCGCATGGAGAAATGGAGCAAGTATTAAAAAAAGGAGGAAGTACTTTATAGGATCTAGTGCTACCTGCATTACATGTCACTTAAGATTATAAGGTCTTGTTTAATTCAACTTATTTTAGAAAAAATAAAAATAAGTTAAGATATTAGATCATAAAATAATAGATTAAGAGCAGATAAAAAAACATATAAGTTCTGATCAGATCATTGTTTATGTACAATTTTTTATCATTAAATCTTTAATTTCATAATGAAAAAAAATTACTCCCTCTATCCCATAAAACTTGATACAATTTCCATTTTCGTCCGTCTCACAATACTTGACACGTTTTTAAATATGGAATGAGACCATTAATAAAAGAAATATTTTTCTACATTTTCTCTTTTCACACCTATCTCACTTTTCCACCCCAATTAAATTTTTTTATATAATAAATAAATGTTTTAATGGACTCACTTGTAGTTTTCTTAAACTATGTGTCCACCCCAATGTCCCAAGTATTATGGGATGGAGGGAGTATGAAATTGCATATTAATAAAATATACATTATTCCTTCCATCTCATAATACTTGAGACGTTGTGGTGGACACGTAATTTAAGAAAACTACAGATGAGTTTATTTTAAACATTTGTTTACTATATAAGAGATTCTCTTTTGTATTTTTATATTGTAAAAAAAGAACAAGTGCGGTGAAAGTGGGATAGGTGGTGAGGAAAGAAAAAATGTGGGAAAATATGTATTGATTAGTGGTCCCATTCTATATTTAGTAACATGTCAAGTATTGTGTGGCAGACAAAATTGGAAACTGTGTCAAGTAATATGGAACGGAAGGAGTATTACGCATCTAACAAGACCCCAGTTGATATATTTTTTCCTTATAGATTATCGTACACTTAAGGTTAAAGTTTTTTCAAATCAGATAATCCGATCAGACCTAATAAAATCAAATAAAATTAGATAAGTTCAGATAAGCAAAAATAAGTTAAACTAAACAAGCCTCTTGGTCAAGAGTAACTTTTATATACATCCGATTTACAATAATTTACTGTAGGGGTCACTTTTATCAAATTTAGGATCATTTTTAGATTTTTTTTTGGGTAACTATCAATAAAGTATAAATACTTTGTAACTTTTATTTATGTCAAGGAAACATTTATTCATATTAGGATAACTTTTGCTGATTTTAAGGTAAATATATGAAGGATGTACAATATTATATTGTATATTCGATTTAGTTAAAAGTTTGTTCTAGGTCAACATCACTACTCATCCATTAGGGCCATTAAAACCCATTTTTTGGGTTTTCCCATTAAATCATGTAGCAGATGTATGCTCGTTTAAATAATTTCAATTCATAAACGGCAAAAGCTAATGAACGCTCCGGGGGCTTTGGATAAGCTAGCTAAAATTAGAAAAATTAAATTAAAAATTAACATTAATTACATCGATCAACTCGTGATTTTGTCATGCTTTCCCAAATTGATACTCTCTCCGTCCCCGAAAGAACGACCCTTTTGGGTTGATTTCGCGGTTATTAATAAAGTTAAATAAAAAGAATAAAAGTATATTAGAAAGATAAATTTACATGGGGTTTACAAAAAAGTATATGGAAAAACAAACTTTTATATGGGGAAGCTAATTTTGCACAAACATTATTGCAAATTGGTGGATATTTTAATGCTAATGGGTCATTCTTTTTGGGACTAAAATTAGGACAAATGGGTCGTTCATTCAGGGACGGAGGAAGTACAATTTAAGTAATAATTTAAATGCTTATCCAACGCCCCGGAGGCGTTCGTTAACAAGATCTTTCATAAATAATTCATTAAATCATGTTTAATTTTGAAAACACTCATTTACTTTCATTGGGAGAGTAAAAGCCTTTTATTTATTTTGAATTTAATTTAATTACTTGCATTTATTAATTATTTAAGGAAAAAGATAAGACCTGCATATAAAAAGCTAAAAATAGAAAGAATTGACAATGAATAAACATTTATTACACCAATTTACTCCTGAATTGTTGATAAATTCACAACTTAATATTAGAAAAGAAAGTATATTAAATGCTTAGGGCTGCATATAACATTACCTATTATTTAACTAGTTTTTGAGTTTGGATAGTGTCTTGAATTATCATATAAATAATATATACTAAATATTATTATTATATTCCCTCCGCTCCATAATATATATGGTTCCTATTTTCCTATTTTTGAGACCTAAAATATTGTTTTTGTTTCTATTACTTTTGGATAGTATGTAAAGATCATTATACCTTTTTTTTTTTTAACTTTATTCATTGTATTTTCTAAATCAGTCTTTAATTTTGCACATGCCTGATACTTTTTTCCATTTTCTCACTCTTTTTTTTAAGCACTTACCGATAATAATATTAATAGAGATCAAATTCTGCCAAAGTTAAGAGACCTTTGGGGGAAAAGAACCTAGGTAATCATGTTCAATACAACCACTAGAGTCTAACATAGCAACATTGTGGGCTAGAGTATTACCCGTGCGCTTTACATGTGAAATCGAGAAAGCAACAAAACAACGAGTATTACTCATTCTAACTTTTGTTTATAATTGTACTTTTGAATTTTTTTTAAAAAATATATTTTATCCACTTTCTCCTCATATTTATTAAATACCGTGAAAAACCACAATTATGAACTTTTATGGGACGGAGGGAGTGCAAGTCTATACGTAAAGATCATGATTGAGAATCACTGTTATTAATTTATATTATTTCGTCCTTTCTTATTTTATTGTACCATAGGGGTTGGGTACAAGTACTTTGGTAATGGAATAAAGGATAAGAGAGAAAGGTAAAAGTACAAGATTGCCCATGTGATGATATATATAAACTAAAAAATCAAGTGTTGAATAGTAATTAAGTAAGGATATATTTGGTATTTGTATTGTAACACAAATATTTCTTTTTCTAGAATAGAAATGGTGCAATATTTATTTGTGATATTTCTATAAAATACAAGTGGTGCAATATTAAAAGAACGGAGGAAGTATTATCTTGAATTAACCCTTTCTTCTTCTTCTTCTTTTTTTTTTTTTTTTTTTTTTTTTTTGGTTTTGTAAAAATATATATGTAATATCATATGACTCCATCATCAAGTCTCTACTATTGAGATCATAGGTTCAAAGCTAATCAGCGCCACGTGATATATAAACTTACTTAGAAATGAATTAATATAATTTTAGGGATGTTAATTTAGTAAATAAAAACGACGAGTAAATTCAAGTTGATCTTCTTGATTGCTGTAACTGGTTAATCTAGGGTTACTATTGGTATTTCACCCTACTAAGTTGAGGATGCCATTGTAAATTCCACCTACTGACTAGGAGTCTAGGACACATACATTGCCTGCACCGTTCGGATTTTTGATGTCAACCATCATAGTCTGTCTCCTTTGTATGCCTCTAACTTCAGTCATTATCCTGGACGTTGCCCACGATCAGTGCATGCAATATAATATAAGAAGGTTATGTTTACATTTAATGAATTGAGCTGAATTGAACAAAACTAATTGGAGCTGAACTGAACTGAACTGAACTGATTGAAGCCGAGCTGAACTATATTAAATAGAGTTGAAACATATACTTTATGAGAGAAGGAAATTAAAAGCAAAACTTAATTGAACTGAACTGATTGAAGCTGAACTGAACTAAAATTAAGCCGAAGTGAATAGTAGAGGCCCGAATTACATAAGAAGATAGACACAACAATTACAAATAAATAAGCTAAAACAAGCAAACTCCAAGTGTCCCAAATAAGAGTGCAAAATGGCCTTAATACTTGAAGCCACCTAAACAATACCATCACACTACTCACACCATCTTCTTCTACAATCTACATGCACTACCACACGTGTACACACCCTTAACAATCTTCCCCCTTAATTAATAAACTAAAAACCAAATTCACCCTTTTAAAAGTCCTTCACCTCTTCAACAAAAACGCTCAAGATAAAAAACCGCTAAAACAAATCCGCTAAACATTAAAAAAAAGCTTAAGAAATGGCTTCAACAGTTGGTAGAGAGAGCAAAACAGCTGGTCAAGGGATGACAATGAAAGAGCATGTAATTGAAAAAGGGGCTGAAATGATGCAATCCATGAAACCAATCAAACAATTTAGTCAACATGTTTGTACCTTTGCTCTTTATAGCCAAGATATGAATCGTCAAATTGAGACTCATCACTTTGTTCATCGCCTCAATGAGGATTTCTGCCAGTGTGCGGTGTATGACACCGATAATCGCGATGGCCGGCTTATCGGTATCGAGTATATTATCTCCGATCGGATTTTCGAGGCGCTTCATATAGAGGAGCAGAAGCTTTGGCACTCTCATTTTTTTGAGGTTTTGTACTTGATCTCTTTTTCCTTTAAATGGATTTTGCATGCATGAGCTTTGTCTTTTTTTAACAGTTTGTAGAAAATATGGTCAAAAGTTATTTTATTTTCTTGTTTTACTATTACGAGAACATGTTAGAGAAACAAAGAGGTGACAAATCTAGTTTTGTGCCAGATTAAATCGGGGCTTTGGGTGAATCCTCGGGTTCCGGAAGCGGTGGCTAAGCCGGAACTAGACAAGTTGGCTAAGACATATGGGAAGTTTTGGTGTACGTGGCAAACCGATCGAGGTAATAACAACAATGTCAATTAACTCATTTAAAATCTTTGTTTTAATTTAATGCACTATGCATGTTTATGTATGATAATTTTATTATGTGGTTTAACTTTGTTTATATCTATTCAATACACTATGCATGCATATGTATTTATAAAGTTATTGCTTACTATTGTCCTAATTAGATCAAGACTATCTAGATTAGAAATTTAGAATAGATCAAAATACTTATTTTTATAAAAAGGAAAATGATAAACATATGTAAGAAACTACCTTATACATTACAGTTTTAATTTAGATATTGTAAGAAACTACCAAATAAAATTTAGATGTTGTAAGAAGCTACATTTTGCTGGATTATTGCATTTAAGAACGGTAGCAATTTACAACATTTAGTTTTTATAAGGTACTAGGTCCCGTGCCACGCACGGTAATTTTCAATAATTCTAATCATAAATTATTCAAAGAAATAACAAAATTGTGTTGATTTGATATTTACATTTCATTATTTAAGCATGGAACTTCTATTACACAATCAAAAAAATATATAATCTTGTTGTAATACATAGTACATAATAAAGTATAAAGTATGTATTTTCTATATAAAAAAATAGTCCATGTTACAAATTATGTTAAGAATATTAGTTTTTTAATATTTTTGTGTAAATTTATAATTGTTAATAAGATTTTTTTAAAAGATACATCAAATCTTTTTAATGTACATAATTATTACTTTATATAGATAAGAGATTTGTTTCTTAAATAGATTTTTTTAAAAAATAAAAATAAAATTTGAGGACACACTAGGAGATGACGTCATTGCTGGTGTGTCTTTTAGTATATAGTTATTGATTGATTATTGATTTTCTTACAACTTTTTTTTTATAATGTATTTTTCACATAATTTGAAGTATATAAGGTAATTTTTCACAAAAAATACCTATTGATAATAAAGTAACATTAATTACATTAATCTGTGTGTGATTTTGTCATGAATTTTTAATTCAATTTCATTTAAGAAAGTATATTTAATACCTATATATAGTAAGGACTAAATACATCATTACCCTTAAAAAAGAACTTTTAATTGTTTATAAAAATTATTATGACATTTATATTTGTGAAAATCCAAAACCGGGGACCATTGAGACGAGCATAAGAAGGAGAGAACTTTTAATTGTTTATAAAAATCATTGTAATAAATGAAAGGTGATTGTTAATGTATAGGTGACCTCCTACCGATCGGAGAACCATCTCTAATGACCTCACCACTAGGAGCGGTTGCTGGGAATGTTAAGGCGCCTCTTTTTCAGCAACGAGATGAAAAATACGGCATATCAAGCACCAAAATAAGTGATTCAAGGGTGGATATTACTGGCCCTGCTCTTATAAACCCCAATGCAGATTACTGGATTAAGCATGGAAAGGGTTTCGCTATCGATATCATCACTGCTGAGATGAAGAAAATCACCCCATTGCCATAGTAGTGCGAAATTAGATAAAGTATGTACATGATCGATGTACTGCAGTACTTGCTATATATGTTTGATTGGTAAGGAAAATGGTGGTATCATCCATATATAAAGATGGCTTTATAAGGTTACACTAGTACTATGTGGGTAGGTTAGGTTATGCATATGATCCATGAAGAAAGATGGCGTTGTAATAATGTTACACATGGTTAATTGGTTATAAGGTTACGCATGTATGTGTTTTTGTTGATCACAAATATAATGTAAGTAGGGTTAGTTTTGCTAATGTGAATTTTGTTTTTATGAATATCTATGTAAAGAACTATATATATAGTTCTTAAATTAAGAAGTTGGTAATATTAAATCTCAGTTAAATTTGTAACCTTCATACAAGTAGTACTCTTATAAATACTACTCTTTTAATCTGTCTTAGAATAACTTAATTATACAATCAAAATTTACATATATGTTATTATTATATTAATAAAAAGTTATAGTTAAATTAAAGTTAATATATGAATAGCGAAAAAAGTTTATTAACAGTCTCGTCATTCTTGTCGGCTCAGTTGTCATAGGGTGATAGATGTCGGCTCAGTTGTCATAGGGTGATAGATAGGGGTGTGTGAGTGTTGAGACCTATTGCAGCCCACTTGTGAGTGTCCCACATTGAAGAAAGAATAGAGGTGGTTTCACTTTATAAGGTAGAGGATTAACTCCTACTGTTACCAATTGGTCTTAGTATGGAAGCTCCTAAACCTTGTTTGTGGACCAAACTCTCCTCCTCCTTGTTCGGTTGTCCAGGCCAATTTCATATTGTTTTGAATGAAATTTAACATGGTATCAGAGCCCAGGTTTATTGGGCCGTTCATAACAGGGTATTTGCCAAGCCACTGGTTAAGGGGCCTCTATTGGATGTTCATTCCAAAAGATGATTAATATTGTACCTTTTGATGTGCTCTAATTCTAAGGATACTCACAAGTGAGGGGGAGTGTTGAAACCCATTGTAGCTCACCTATGAGTGTCCCACATTGAAGAAAGAGTAGAGATAGTTCCGCTTTATAAGGTAGAGGAGTAACTCCTGCTATTGCCAATTGGTTTTAGTATGAAAGCTCCTAAACCTTGTTTATGGACCAAATTCTCCTCCTCCTTATTCGGGTTGCCCAGGCCCATTTCATATTGTTTAGAATGGAATTTAACAATGAGTCACATGGGGGTCGTTGGCTGATGAAGGCCTAGCTCTTACAACCCATCTTTATAGTAATTGTATAATCATACAGATGCAATTTTTTCGATTGATTGATTTTAAAATTTAACTGGAGTTTTTGATTTAATATAAAATGTTTTCATGGTAAATAATTTATTTCCTCCCATTTTTTGTTTGTTTTGTGAAACACTAGAAATTACACTTAGGCCCTGTTTGATTCACCTTAATTTTGCTAAACTGAAATTATTTTTACTGAACTGAACTTATTTTTACTGAACTGAACTTAATTTTACTAAACTGAAATTATTTTTACTGAACTTAAATTAATTTTACTGAACTAAAATTATTTTTACTGATTTTCTATTATAATTCTTCTTTAAGAAAACTGAATTTTACTGAACTGAACTTATTTTTACTGAACTGAAATTATTGCTACTGAACTGAAATTAATTTTACTGAACTGAACTTATTTTTACTGAACTGAAATTATTTTTACTTAATATTATTTTTTAAGGTGAATCAAACAGGGCCTTAGGCGGAAATTATTTCTCCTTACAAGAGTAAAGAAAAACTCATTTTCCATTCTCCTAATTTTTTTTTCCTTTCCTTTTCATCTATTATAGATATTTTCACCTTTCACTCCTATTATTAATTTTTTACATGACTCTTTGTCTAAGGAAATAGATAAAGGAAAACTAATTTGAAATTGTAGTTTTTCCTTGAAATATGTTTTTCATAAAAATGAAATGTTTTGAATAAGTCAAGCCGTTTTTATTTTTTCATAAAAATAAAATTAAAGATACCTAAAAGCTATTCAAAAGCTATGTAATAGTATGTCTATGTTGATATCACCTTCGTTTATTTTAGTTGAATCCGTTTGACTTTTACACTATTCACACACTACACTTTGACTCGTTTTTGTGATTTATAGATACGATAAAATATGCTCAAGTGGGATCTTGTTTGAAAATCGTTTCGATGTATATTTTATAAATAGAAAAAATACACTTTAATAATCCAAACTATTGACGATTTACTTCTAATAATTCCAACTAAAATTTATCATTTAATAATCTTAACTATGGGGTCAATTTGCCTCTAATGGTCCCAATTACCGCCTGCTTGAAGGACAAATATTTTTTTATAAGCCACGTGTTAGCACGTGATTGGTGTAATATTTAAAAAAAATATTTAAAAATTGAAAAAAAGAAAAAAAAGGAAAAAAAAACCTAAAACCATTTCCAGCCAGCCCCGTCGTAACCCTAATCTAACCCCCAGCCCGTCGGAAACCGCAGCCGTCCACCTCCTTAATCCTGTGAAAACGGACAGTCGACACTACCTCTTAACCCCCTAAACAACACTGTCAATCCAACTCGACCCCCTAAACCACTCCCTCCCTTCCATTCCCCTTCGATGGAAAACCATAATTGAAAGGAAAACCCATAAGTGTCGCTCCGATGCTCCTCCTCCCTTATACGCCCTCGAAACCACCCATAGGGTCGAATTTGGGGGTTGGCAAGGGAGGAGGGTTGGTTTCGTTTTTGTGGAGATTTTTTTTTTTCGAGGGAGAGTAATTAGATGGTTTGCCGGGTGAATGGGATGGGTATGGTGTTTTTAGGGGTTTGGAGCGGCCAATCGGTCATTTTTCACGGTTAGTGGAGACAGATGGCCATTTTCCGATGGGTTGGCCGCCGTTGGGTTATGCAGTGGTCGAATGGGAAGTGATGGTGGCCTATTAGGGTTTCCTGGTTTTTTTTGTTTATTTTTTTTAATTATAGACCAATCACGTGCTGATTTGTGTATTGGTAACTTGTTACAACAAGTCATTGACTTGGTGTTGACCGGTTGGGATCATTAAAGACAAAATGACCCCATAGTTAGGATTATTAGATAATAAACCTTAGGTGGGATTACTAAAAGTAAATCGCCCAGAGTTGAGATTATTAAAATGCATTTTTCCTAATTAATATCCACTTTTTATAATGTTACACTACTAGAAAAAGACCGTTTTTTGACGGAAATTTTTCCTTGGAAATACCCTGTTTTCCGTCGAGAAAGGGGTATTCTGTCGTCGGAAAAGGTATTGTAGGAAAATTGACCTTTTCCGTCGAAAATTCCGTCGGAAACACTTTTCCAACGAAATTTATGTGTCGGAAGAGCATTTTCGGGCTGGAAAAGTCCGTCGTAAAATAACGACGGAATATACATCCGTCGGAAACGTATACCAAAAAAACCAAAAAAAAAATCCACACCACTACCGCCACTGCCCACCCAATCACAACCCCAAACCCAGTAGCCCCACCCTCCCACACAGTCAGTCCCCACCCAACCCCCAACCCCCAAACCCGATCCCAAATCCCCACCCAACCCCCAAACCTGATCCCAGTAACCCCACCCTCCCACACACCCAGATCCCCACCCAACCCAAACCCAAATCCAAACCCAAACCCAAACCCTAACCCACTAGCCTAGAAAACCCTCCCACACTCAGATACCCACCCACCCCAAACCCTAAATAACCACCAGTCCGCCACCCATCCACCACGTTCAATGGTAATTAAACCCAAAAATTAAAAAAAAAACAAAACACAAAACATACAAATTCACAGCCCATAAATTAACAAAATAAAACAAATAAAACCAAGAAAACATACCTATATTACCATTTTTCCTTTGAATTTCACTCGAATATGGTTTAATACGGTCAAATTCGACCATGAAACCTTTAGATTTAAGGATTTCAAGCTCGAATTTGGCTGTAACAACCATTACTTGAAGATGATGTTCAACATTTGATTTGTAGAGGGTAAATAAGATGAGTGAAAGAGAAGATGAGGGAAAGAGAAGAAGAACGATAGAGAAGAAATAAGAGGAAAGACAGAGGAGGAGGAGGAAAGAGAAAGACGACGGAGAAGGAGGAGATAGGGCGTCAAAGAGGAGGAGGAAAGAGAAAAGGAGAAGGAGGAAAGAGGAGAAGTAATAAGTAAGAAAGAATGGAGGAAAGAGAAGGAGGAAAGAGGAGCAGGAAGGAGAAAGAAAGAAGCGGCGCCCGCTTAGGGTTATGAGATATTTTTTAAAAAAACTATTATTTTAATGGTTCCGACGGAAAAATCCGTCGGAAATCATTAATTTTCCGACGAAATTAAAATCTTTCGGAAAAAGGTATTTTCCGACGGATATAAAATTCGTCGTAAATTTCCGATGGAATTAATGAATTCGTCGGAAATATCCGACGGAATATAAATTCGTCGGAAATTTTAGTTTTTCCGACGAATTTACGTGTCCGTCGGAAGCAATCCGTCGGAATTCAGCTGATTTATAGTAGTGTTACAATGTTGATAATTAGAGATATTAAGCGTTAAAATCTATGAGTTGACAATCATGATAATAGAAAGATGTCAACTTGTACTTTGTATGAACTGTCATTTATGATAACACTACCAAATGAAGATTTCCGTTAAGTTTTCTGTTAATGGGCCCACAATAACTTTTATGCTCTTTTTTTAATTTTATTTTTCTTTTTTTTCCGTTTTCTTCTCCTTACTTTCTACTTCTCCCTATGGACATGACGTTATTGCTTCTTCCTTCTCCTCCCTTTAGTTCATGCTAAAGATATGAGATATCAGAATATATATGTGTGATATATTTTCCATTAATATCTGTTGAAGCTTGAGAGTTTTGATGATGATGAGTAAAAACACATATAATTTAATGTTCTTAGTTAATTAGAACAGGTGAAGTTGGAAGTGGAAGTAGAAGTGCAAGAGTAGCTTGCCTATGAAGATCTAATGAGAATTAAATAAGAGTTCCTCATTGAAGATAGAAGTGATCCTTAACAGGAACACAAAGAGAAGTTTCCTAACATGAGCTTAATAGCAAGCTGAGAAGACTATCTTAGACTGCGTTGAATACAACAAGTTCCATAAGAACTTGGTCTGCGAGTTCCGGCAAAGAGCTGCAGAGTTGAAGACAGTAGGAACTCAGTCCTGGTCTGCGTAGAGCCCAATTATCCTTATAATGCAACGATTGATGAGATGACAATCCAACACTAGACTAAAACTCTTTTATTAAGGTTTTTGTT